ACTTAGGGCAGGGCCTTTCTACTGTGTGAACATCTAAGAGCTGATAACATTATAAATCTACAGTTTGTAAGACTCAATGTCTTGCGCTCCTTTTGTGTGGAGAATTTTGCTGTCCAAGCTGCATGTTTTATGACTGGTAGCTACTGATGAGCTAGACCTCACACCTACAATTCTGATGAAAGCTGGCAGCGAAAGGAAAGGAAAAGGAGTAGCAGCTGTAAATTAAAACAGGGAGAGACTGGTCAGTAAATTTAAAGGGGTGAGACTAGCCAAAGTGCAAGATGTAAAGTTCATCATCCCTGTAATGACGGTTCTGTGTTTTTCCTACAGGTGCTATACTAGCACCACAGTCCAAGGGGGAATGCTTAAATCATCTGGAAGAGTGGCCATGGCCTAGGCAGCTCAGGAAATAAAATGATTTCTACTTATTATGAAGAGTACAATTTAGATGATGCAGTATGAAAGTATGACACTGGCACTCCAGGGCCTAGTGATGAAGACAAGGGGAACATGGCTGTCGGATTGAGCAAAAAAGCAAAAATGAATAAAAAAAACTTTTCTGTGCACAGTAGACTCAACAGACAGTTTAAAAATAATGACTACAAACTACAAACAGCTGAGAGAGGAAAATATAATCTACATGTAAAACTGCCATTCTAAAGGAATACTACCCTCCAGTATCACTAACGACATCAGATGTGAAAACAATTGCAAGGAAATCAAAATTGAATGTTACAGGCCATTGTTATTATACCTTTATTCCACAGCACACCAAAGAGCATCACAGGTAACTAATGCGATATGAGTGCTGTAGTCAAAATCAGGCTTCCAGACACCAGGGAGAATAAAATCATGAGTTTAATACATGGCATTATACTACTATGATTATTGATATCACATTCCATGCTGAGAAAACCACAGTAAACAAGTAACTGGTAAATGCAGTGCAATTATTTACTATTTATTATTTAAATAATTTGCAGCTGTAACACCCTGCATGGGTCAGGAACAGTTTATATTTTACCACAGCAAAGATGAGTGGCAATGAGATTCATTTACAAAGTTACACTGAATGAGAAAACATATGAAACATATACAGGTAATTGCTTATTAATTTTAGGACAAAAGTGTAGTCCTGTTCATTGCTTTCCTGCAGTTTATCCTATACAACCAAGACTGTGCTACATTATTATTTGTAAATATTTTCTTTAAATGTAATGAACATTCGATTTAAATTACAGCTATCACAAATGGGACCTAAAGTAGTTATAACTCAATTGCTCAAGTGTGGTAACACAGATAAATGTTCACAAAATGTTAATATTTTTGTAATATTCTAGCGGTCCTATTTTTCTTCATACTTTTATCAAGGTTCACCTTGACAAAAATCGTAACTTGGCAAAGATCCTGTCTAATGTCAAAAGTTTCAAAAAAGATGTCGCTTTGATCAATTTTTAATAGACCTCGGTAGCATATCTCTCTGCTGGAGTCGGCAACAGGGTGCCAGATCTTAGCTTATTTGAGGAAAGGGATGAGGTTGAAATGAATCATTCCAGGACTACCATATGGATTTCCAAATATGACTTGGAACCCTACCTTTTTGGCAGTAGTCTCCAGTTTTCTCAATCCACTTTGAAAAAATGTAGCACTTTCTTATAAACAGGTGAAAAACAAGGCTCACCGCCTGAATAATAAAATCTTCCTCGTGTTCCAGCACAAGTTTTATAAAGATACGAGTTTAGCTTATAGGCTTTTGTGTGGATAATGTATTGAAGAGAGGAGGTTAGGATTACATTGTAATTAAATTTCCTGATTCCCCTGGTTGGATTGCATCACAAACCAATATTGAGGAGCAACGAGCGGAGTTCAATTGGGCATGCACTGCTAGAGAGAGTGACCTAGTACAGGGGTTCCCAATCCTGGTCCAGCTGAGCTCTCACGTACCCCTACTGAACCCGAAATGACTAAATTAATTGAAATAACAAAATTAAACATGTTGGAGGTTGCATTCCAGCTGTTGCATTTCATAAATGATATCAATTTCCAAAATTCTGAGTAGAAAAAAATTAAAGATTCCAATGAAGCAACCCATTATTAAAACAAACTGTGATTCCACATTGAAACACATCGGGGCAGAGCTGTGGCTCTGTGGCTAAAGATCTGCACCTGTGGCTGGAAGGTTGCCGGTTCAAATCCCGCAGCCGACAGAAGAATCCTACTCTGTTGAGCTCCTGAGCAAGGCCCTTTACCCCAACTGCTCCAGGGGCGCTGTACAATGTCTGACCGCAGGCTCTCTCCCTGTCTGTGTGTCTCATGGAGAGCAAGCTGGGGTATGTGAAAAGAAAATTCCTAATGCAAGAAATTGTAAAGGGTTAATAAAGTGATTTTATTATTATTAAAATAAATCTTTTTCTGAATAATCAGAAACTGAAATCGAATTTAGGAGGCTAGTATTTAACAGGATCACTCAACAGTAACTTGGATGACATAAAAGGCTTATATACTGTGTAAAGTTTTCACACTTTAAAAGTTGCCATGTATTTAAAATCGATGTGGAGTCTTTATGTTATTGCATAATAGTGCATAAGAAATGCAAGTTTAGCATTACAAGGAACCGTTTTCATTTGTGTCAGTACTGTTCAGTTTTATAGTGACTTTCACCTTTGTTCACCTATTCACAAAATTCTGATATATGCACTAGTAATACTTATTATTTCTTTGACCTAAATGACTCAATGAAATACTACAACTCATTTACAATTTCAATACTAAAAAATTCATAATAAGCACATCAGTAAACAAAATGTACTGACCCAAAAAATAATTTATGTGTTGTATTTGTATCGTAAGTTCTTAATGTGCCCTTCAGATTTACAAGGGTTATCTGGAGGCAAGCCTCTCCAAATATATTAGTAAAATGACTTTTGTAAATCGTATAACCCCACTGCCAATAATTAGACAGGGTTTGCTGAGGCACAAATGTGGGATGATTCTTGCCTCTGATTGGTTCTGGTAATACTGTCATCTCCTCCTCCTCTGTTTCACCTGAAGGACAATATTTTCAGATGAACCAATCTGGGTTTGTTGCTCTTCTTAATAACAGACAGTCACTTCTGATAAGACACTCTTCCTAAAGATTCTGCCCTTGATACTTACTGCAGGGGCACGTCAATATCACGCTAATGTAACAAAAATCAAGGACATCATCAAGCCTAGCTAAAAATGCAGCATGACTTGTTTGAAAACGAGGGAGCAGAAGTAAAAATGCTGCTCTCAGTAGAATAAGACTTTGAACCCCTGCTTGTAATTCTTGTCTTAACATGGATCACCGGCAATAACCTTAAACACCCACGCTCAGTTAAATACCATGTCATTCCTTCCCAGTTCTTCCACATTATCACGATGAAGAGGTGACAGCCCCTCACCAGGATATAAACTGGTGCAATAATCACCTCATTAGAACGGAGTCTCAAAACCGATGATAATCCTGATCAAAACCTGACAGACTCTCCAGATCCGTCACTGAGGTCCTGGTAATTAAGGCATCCGTAAGTCTTAACTCCCTCGCTGCTGCAAGTACTCAGTCTGATACCCCGTGTGAGTGAGCTCTAGGACCTCTTCCTGTGCAGGTGGTGCGCAGAAGAAAACATCAGTCTGGGCACTGGAAACACTACAACAGCACGTCTGTGTAACGAACAGTTCTTTCCGGACCCTATGCGGACGACACAATCCGAAGAAGTGGGAAACACTAGGAAAAGGTCATGCAGGAATCCTTGGCTGAAAACAGGGGGGCGCTGGTGCACGGGGAAGGTGTGGCCTCGGCAAATAATCCAAAAGTAATCCATAAAGGGAATCCAAAAACACAAGAATAAGTCCATAGCCAGGTGATCCATCCAAACAAGGAATTAAAACCATGAACTGGGTCGGGACAGGCGGACTAGGAACGGGAACAGAGATTAAAACCTTAACGGGACCAGGCGCTCCCAGGTCCCGGACTCGCACGGTGCGGAAACCAGATGCAGAGCCAGGATGAACGTCAGCGCCTGGCTTTTAAGGTAGGCTGGGAAAAGGGGTCAGGTGCACAGAATTAAGTCTAAAGTGAAAGGGCTGGAGCACCCTTAAGGAGGGGGGACTATAATCGTGACAGTCTGCGCAGATGAGACGGGTTACATCTGAAAGAGAAGTGTCTCCGTTGATACACTTCAGGATCACCTCAGAAATCCAGAATCATTCAAACTAGAATGGAAGGGGTGGGGGGGGTGGAGAATCCCAGGAAAAACATAAGGCAGATACACAGGGATACAGGTCAAGCAGCCGCCTCTCATCTGTGACATTTCTTAAACTCCGAAGCATTCGTGACGGACTTATAACAAAGTCTCATGGAAACAGATGAACCAAATTATGGCTAATTGAGCACCTCCAAATGCAAATCAAACAAAAACGAATACTGGAAAAGACCTGTCTCCTGTAACACTATTTACAGAGGCATTGGTAAAACAGGCTTGAGCAATGCTGGTAAAAAACCCATCTGGCAGTACAAAGCCACTTATTCCTGATCTGATCTGAGTGGCATCGGGGAACCTGTCCTCGGAATACCACATGGAAGAATCACACCTTGGTTGGGATGCCAGGCCTGTGCATGGCACACAGGAGCCCCTGTTCAGAATCGAACCCAGGACCCAAGAGGTGTGAGGGAGCAGTGTTAACCACTGGTGGCCCCTGTAAACCATCCACACCTATTTAACCTCTGAGCCCACACTGAGGAATTTCTGTCCTGAAGGATTTTAACGTGATGGGTAGCATTCCAGAGTTCATGGCCCGGGACCTCTTACTGTGAGTTATGTACTTCTAAGCCGACGATTAAGAACTTTTGACCTCTCTTGAGTAATATGGACTCCTGCTGTCTGGCCCCATTTATCCACCACAAGTTTCCAACAGCAGTGATTGTTAACAAGAAAACGCCAAAGGCCTATCCTTCATATTTATCACAAAATCAATACCTTTCGGCCAGAGCTGATGAAAGTAGTCTTCATCCAGAGGTTGATTAAGGATCAGCAAACAGAACTTCTGTGTTCCTGCGAGAAAAAGACATTTGCTTTTGTCGTGATTTTGAAAACATAGGCAATCGTTTTCGTTGTCTTGTCAGTTGTTTCTCTGTTCCCTTGCAAAATTGTTTTAAAATAGATTAAAAAACATCTGTATTCTTCTGTTTGTTATCCAGCTTCTGTTTGCGACAACCCTTTTTTCTCTCAAGTTATACTTTGCAGCTATTACTGCAAGGAGGGCATTAATTAAAACAGCAAAGGCAGTGCACTGCAAAACAATTTTCAAACAATCTTCTCAACCAAGATGACAATTAATATAGAACAAAGTAAGGTTGGATCTCAACTGCATGGACCACATGAAAGGAAATGTACTACATTTCACAGCTGTTACCTGCTTTACTTTAATCTGAAAAGTCAGTATTCCACACAGTAAAGAGTTTGATCACATATATGAACTCTAAAGAACAAGTCGCTGATCAACTAAGACTGAGTTTAATCAGTACTTTGCATGCCACTTTAGATCTGTAGAAAAGAAAGGCAACATAACAGCAACACACACCACATTCAGGGCTCAGGAACTGTTTTCAGACTTCCGACCAGGGGGGGGAGGGCACATTCTCTGACACCCCTGGGTCTCTGGCCTCACACCCATTTTGGTTCATGTCAAAGAGACTACAGTAAATTCAGCCAACACCAGTGTCCGATGTAATCTCTCCTCTCCAGAAAATAAAAAACTGTCATCTTGGTCAATTCTTGGCAGATTCCTTTGAACACTGTTAGAGTGGCTGTCAATCAAAATGGGCACGGCACAGTCTTGACAGGAGCATACAGTGCATCAGGAGTGGCAGGACCTTAGACTCGACTGCTACTGCAGAGCAGCACAGAGGAGCACGATTATTCACACTCACTCCCACAGTCCCAGGACCCATGGCTGTTACAAGCTATTAAATATTACATTTGATCAGCATTCCTCCCAAAAATAAATCAAAGGGGAAGCCTATGCCAAAGCAAAGCCATTACTTATGTTTACAGATATTGAGCGAAATCAGCCCTGCACTGGGATCCTGGGAATGCGCAGGGCTGGGCAGTGAGTTCATGCTCCAGCTTTATCAGCTGTTATTGTCATTACGAGGGCTTCGTCTAAATGATCCGTCTTGTCTGCATTGAGCTTCCTGAAAAGCATAAGCAAAAGCATGCTTCTTATTTTATTTCTTTTTGCTTCTATGGAAGGGCTGCCAGAAAGAACAGATTTGGACAGCATAATTTGCTCAGTTATGCTGATTTGGATAAAATGCATGAAGCGCAGATCGCTATAGTGAGCACAGACACCTGTAGTTCAAAAATATTACACTGTAAAGAGCACCTTAACATTAACACTTCCTGTTTGATTTTGTTTGTTTCTGTATCCTGTACATTGCAGCATTTCTTTATAAAACAAACACTCATTTACCCAAAGGGTTGCAGGAGTCTGAAACAAGCTACGCAGTCATGTGGCTGAAGCTCATCACTATTGAGTACCCATCAGGCAATGGCCAGATGGACTCTTCTTGCTTGTAAACGTCCTCATGTTCTTATATTTTTAACAATCCATTATTTCAGGAGTAATGAAGACGTGTCCCTTCTTGCTGGTCCTCGTCACAGAGCACCTTCTGCTTACCACAAAGGCCTGTGTGAATCAAGTGGCCCGAAAGGTGCTGAATGCAGCTCCGTACGCAAACTCTTGTATTGATGGGCCATGTTATTGTTTTTTCCTCTAATAGCTGCAGTGACTGAGTATAATGTTGTTTGTACTCCACTAGGTTCCGTGACTTACTGAAAATGACAGTACAGATTTCACACTCCCATACCTTGTGTGGATACAGAGGTACATTACTCCACTTAGTCAAACTGCCACAAGCATGCGTCCTGTGAGGCGTGCCAGGTAATAGCCGGTAAATATTTATCACTGCTAATGGATTCCCGAGCAAATTGTTTTATGTTTTCTGCCGCTGAAATTCATTAAGTAACTCTCTGTTTGATGAAAGTTTGGAAATGAAATGAACACTTCAGTGGCTTAGATTTATCACGACGGCCGCGGCAGGTGAGGAAACTCTTGTGGCTCATCTTGCAGTTGCTGTGGCCGCTCTGTTTCACAGCCAGCCCTGGCGCATCAGGACTCATGGCTTCTGCTCACTGGGGCAGAGAGACACCTGGCACCCGACACCTTTCTCAGGCTGAGGATCCTTGCCAGCGCTCCTGTGCTGCAACAAGGACCAGGGTGTGCAGCCTGTGGCCTAGGCACTGTGTTCCTCATCCTATCTGGTCCTCAGAAGATCCTTAACTCCGCCTTGGTTAACCTGCTGAGCTCCTCGTCCCTGATGGGCCTGCCCTCGTGCCAGTGTTTCGTGTCAAGGGCACCAGTGACTGTGCAGCGGAGTTGACCGACCCCAGCACTTGCTCGGCAGAGAGCAAACACGCGCGCTCTGGCTTGGATCTTGTGGTCGGGTCCTGGAATATTTCTCGGAGTGGTGGATAGAGTCAGTACTGCACCTCATAGAGAATTAATTTATTGCTGATGAAAAGCAGCAAATAACCCTGTCTAACTGTACAGTATGTTCAGAGAGAGAGAGGCACACAGTTACATAGTTACAGCCACCCTTCATGTGGCTGTAAATTCTGATGTAATAATTCATGTAACTCCCGGTATACCTCAACGGCTCTCATTCCAATTGTTTATGGTGTACACAGATGCAAAGACATGCTTAACACGAATTTCATTCCTGGCTTCCAGTCACCTAAATTTAAGGCAGTCTTTTGGATACTGTGCCAAGATCCGGGGTTTTGCACTTTTTCTTTTCTTTTAAATGCACATTGGTTATTTGAGTCCTGGAGGTGTAAACGTCTCTCCTGCAAGCTGGTTAATTAGAATGTAACAATCAAGGACTGTAATTTTTACATTCTTAGACATTTGCCAACATTAAGAGCAGACACTGACAATACAACTTTGAACACAGCAGAGGAAGAACTAATAATTAATGTGTTGTCCACATATCATCTTAATAAGCTGTCATTTGAGACATTGAGAAGATGCAACTTGACGAATTGTTCAAAACATACTATCATTAATTAAATTATAATTGAGTGACAGGACTGCTGTGCCTTTTTTGCTGTGTCTTTTCTCACAGGAGTTAATTTTAAAAAGCTCACCACATAGCAGCGAGTTAAATTAGCATTTTTTAACACGTATTTGGTAGTTTGAAATGTATTTTGACACATCAACTTCTTGATATTTCATTTTGTGTAGTTTTTTATAAGTAGCATAAAAAGGTAAACCCCATCTTTTTATTGCTGCCAAAGAAGTATATGGTTGATTATACAGTATTTATGCTTTTAATATATTGTGATGCTGAAGACAAAAACCTTTGTGTTAAAATGACTGTACCCAAGAGCAAAGGAAAGGTTACAAATGAGAGGAAATGACATTTGGCCCATTGCAGGCCATTTGGTAGAGAGTAGTTAATGATAAGCTAGGGCACTGGCTTCAACACCATGCCCCAGCAGCTTGTTCCACACCCCACTACTCTGAGCAAAGAAGTGTCTCCTCTTCTTGGTATAAATGCACATCCACTTGCATTCTCTGGTTCAGGTTCTTTCTTAAGACCCCCACTGGATTGACCCTGTCAGTGTTTTGGAGGACATACGAGGACATATGAAGGCCAATTCTTCCCCTAAGAATTCAAATGTCATCTGAAACATATATTTAGCCTGACTAATCTGTGACCAGTTCCCAGCTATTCCAACCTTCTGTATACCAGCACTAGCCTCATTGCTTTTATCACTCAATGTGGCTGACCATTTTTTAAAAATAGTAGGTCATTTTACCTTCTAAAAATGCAAAAACGGTTATGATTAAACACGGAAGTTGGGTAAAACCAGGACTTATTTTCTACGATAAGTCTCTTTGCTTGGTATGTGAAATCCTGTGGAGCTCCTGAGTGATTAGAGTGGAGTAACGCCACGTACACCAAGCAATCTGATTCTTCCTGTTGTCAGATTCCTGGGAATCAAATTAGCTAACAATGGCATCGTCACATAAACTCAGCGACTAGTGTTTCTAGATTTTCTTTGCCAGTAAACAGGTCTGCTAATTTACAAAACCGTCCTACAGATCTGTGACTGTTAGTATGGTAATATCTTCCCAGCAGGAAATAAATGACAACTGTGGGAGAAAGTAACTTCTCTTTTATATAACACAGAGGTAACAAAACTGTTCATCTAACAAGCACGCACACTGCTCAGGTTTTTCACACAGCTTTTTTAAATGATCTTTGGTGAGTCATGCAGGAGTCCTCTTGGCAATCGAGATCTATAAAAGGTGTACCTACAGTAAAGTCCTGCATGGTAATTAACTCTCAATGTACACCCGGGCATCCTAATTGTAACTGTGGTTAAGAAGAATGGAGGATAAGCTATGGCCCTGTTTTGACTTCTGAATTCCAAAAACCAAAAGGCATGCACATGACTCCCAGACTGTCATGTACAATATAAATCCGTCTATCATACATACTGTATACAGCAGAACAGCCATATAACTGCAAATGAACAAAGTTCAATTACATTTGACAATAAGTAAAAAACAATTTAAAAGGTCCTTTATGTGTTCAGATAAAATCTTTATCTTTTTTAATTGCCTTGTAAATTCAACATTTTTTCTGTGAGCAATTACTTCCTGTCAGGTGTGCGATTACTACCTGTCAGTTAAATAAACTGTATTTACAGTACTTACTTTGCAAGTGAAAAGAAACAATCTTCTCTTTTAAATAATGTCACCTAACCAGCATATTTAGAGACCACATCAATGAATTGCAAAATTCAAGTAGCGCTGCTTAAATGAGGGAGTCCTGTCTCAGGTGTCCAATCGGCTCTGGCCTGCATTGCTTGCACTGAATGACAAATTCGCTTTAATCAAGTCAGGCTTGAAAGTCAAATCTCAGTTTCATGGTAGCTTGAAGGCACTTCTTCCAACAAATTGTCAACCATCTAGAATGTCA